GCTTTGAGAGCCTCTCACGTGCACTGACTCTGAGTTTGCATTTGTTTTGATGTTTTCATTGCAATTAACCGACAATTGATGCAAACAGTTATGAATCAGATGAGGATCTTCTCCAACATTGCCCTCAGATGTGGTCCAAACCATACATTCACTCATCACTTGAGACGAACTCTGTGCTCATCTCAAGACACCAAACAAGACATGAGAGACCCTTTTCGGGACAGGAGTCGAGTGATTACTCCGGAACAGAGTATTCAGTATCTGAAGAGCACAGGTATGTCATGACTTGTGATTGTGTGGTGTTTGTCATGTAATTGTTTGATGGATTGGTTAGCCTTTAAGGAGACGTACGCTCACCACAAGGTCTGGCAGTTATTTCGGCGTAACTTTAAGGGCCAGTACTCGCCGTATAAGTCCCGCAGCACTTGTATTATCGATGACTATGTCTACACATCCAATCCCTGTCCCATTTGTCGCGACCAGTATCTCGTACTTCACTATACGGTGAGTGTATTACTAATGTAAAAGGTGTGCAACTAATGCCCAAATGAATTGGCAGAACATGGATCTACTCAATCACTTCATTAATCCTCATTCGGGTTATGTCTACGAGAATACCATTCTATGTCTTTGTGCCAAACAATACGAACAGCTATTGGTTGCCATCACTTTGGCTAAAGACTGCGGGCTCTTGACGTTTGAGGTTCCGCTTCGCACCTATGATTACCACGAATACTACAAACATTTGGATCACAATCACCACAACCATCATAATCACAATCACCATCACATCGCTAGTCATTGATTCGATGGTTTAGATCTCGCCATTGATTGATTGATTGTACTCTAGACCCGATTGGGATCATAAGTACACTATAATTGATATGATTTAGTACTACGGTATTTAAATTTACAGTATGTAACTCTAATAATTATTGTTTATTAAATAAAATGACAACTCTTTTAAATTTATTTTTTATTACCGGTATTTGATGTTTTGTCTAAATTTTCTATAATCTGAACAAAACATTATGTATTAGAAATATACAATTTTAATTGATAATATTAAATTAATAAGTTTAGTTGGTGGAAAAGGTGTATACTTAATACAGAGACTGTACTATACAGTAATTATTATAATAGTAACGTTGTCTATGAATTGCCGGCATTTCATCAGTTGATTGAATTGTTTTGACTGACATGTGATTCAATGATTTAATTGTAACAATTCATTAGATTTTAATTCAATTCAAATTATGTTTAAACTAAACTTTTTGGACAAAAGCTTTTCACTTAAAGTTTACCGAAAATTACTGCAAGACTTCAGACATATAAAGGTTTGAGACATAAGTGAAATGTGATATGTTTTTGCAACTGATTGTTGTGGCAAATGTAGCATGGTGGTGTTGGTGGTGACCCTGGTCCAGTGAGTGCGAGGCACCGACTCTTTGCCAGTGTTGCCGAATCGTCGGC